AAACCCTAAATTTCTATTTATAACTATGGGATGTGTTAGAAGCCTGGAGAAAAGCCTGTCACCAGCTGAAAAATAAAGCCTCCAAATAGTCCTGCAGCAAAGCAAGATTTGAGACTCTTGGTTAAAAAAAAGAAGGGGGGAAGTGGGGCAGGGAGAGAAAGACCACGAGCTGTTAGTGGGGTGCTGAAATGGGACTCAGGGAGAACAAAGAAATGTCTGACAGATTGCAGAACCCAGGAGCTGCTTGTCCTGGCTCCCTTGGAGCCCTCCCTCAGTCACCAGGATGTGTTTTCTGATGGAACAGTCTGCTTTCTTACCTGATGCTTTGTTTTAGTCTGCACAAGAGTTTAAATTTGGTAACTTGACAGAACCCATCACATTTTGCAAGTTGGAATCATGTCAGAAATAAGAGGGGCTAATGGGGATAAATGCAGTTTTCATGAAGCTGCCCAGCAAATCTGGAGTTCTGGAATTCTGCCCGTGTTGGTTTCTGCCTGTAAATCCCCAAATTCAGCTGAGGACCTGCCACTCTGGGATGATTTCTATTTTCATCATTCTCTTTTTTTGTCTTGAGTATTTGCATTGAAAAAAACTGTGTTAATCAGATGCTCTGGAAATGCACTTGTTGCCTTCATTTTGGATTTTCTTCTCAGTCCAGGGTTGTGTTCCATCAGCTCTTGTATTTCTGTGGCTGTCTTTGCATAAATCTCAGTTTATTGAATTATTTGGAGGACACTTGGATGCTTTTAAATAACAGTCTCCAGTACATCTAATTTTCTGTAGTTTTTTCTTTCCTAACTCAGGTGTTCATGGCTGTTGTTTATCTACTCCAATACTTGTATCTCCCCATATTTCTCTTCTTTTTGTACACCTTGAATTGTAAAAATGCCATTCAAATATATTCTAATGAATTCTAAGTCTTCCTGTCAAAATATGAAGAAATCAATGGTGCATTGCACAAACAAACAAATTCTGCTAGAGACCTTTCAGCCCTTATTTCCCATGTGCCTCTCTGAATGTTGGTGTTTGGAAGTCTCCTGTATTTCAGCTCTTGCTTTGCTAGTCTGATCCTAAGTGAATTAAAAAATGCCCTGAAACTTTTTGTCCTCTACAGTCACGAAAGCAAGACTAAGCATTTGACAAACTCTGCTCCTGATTTGGAGAATTAGGTTTGTCCTGTCACTTTTAAAAATCCATTTTGCAGAAGTCTCTTCTACTGAGTGATCCTCTAACAGTTCCATTTCAGATTCATGACTTACAGGAGTGTCTATGGGTAGGAATAATTTTCATTTTAACATTTATTTGTTTAATATATCTGTATTCAATAGATCATTTCCCTATCACTAGTGACTGAATATTTCCTGGAGTGAAAGGTTTCAGTAATAATTGCATACAGGCAGACTTCCAATAGTAAGAGGCTAAAATTATAAACCCTTTATAAAAAAACTTTCTCTTTAAAAGTCAGGTCTTATTTCAGCAAGATTGCTGGTGGCTCCAATTTCATGTTCAGGCTTCTTTGGCATTTCATTGGGAGGCTAGGGTGAAACTCCTTTCTATATATATATTTTACTCTAAGCCCCTGCTAATAAGTTATTCCAATACATTTTCTTTAATGGATTTTCATCTTCTTATAGTCTGAGTTAATAGTATTTTTCATTACTGTTTTCAGCTGTTTAAATTACTAAATGTAGTTTTTAGAGTTCTGTGAAGAAGTGTACTTTTTATAGAGTGTGGGAGCCTAAACTTTTCCTAAGCTACTGTCACAAGCCAGTTGTGTGATCCAGTAGTGCACAAAGTAGGTCATAGTTTATTCACTGTTATGCTGAAACAACCAAGTGTCAAACCAAAACATCAGTCCCGTACATTAAGATGGGAAAATGATGTCTGCCATCCGAATTAGATGATAAGGATGCTTCAACTTATTGCTTAAATAAATAGGACAAAAGCTCCAAGTTTTGCAGATTTTTGAATTTTCCCTTCCCATATGCATTCCAGTGCTTCCTTTAGCCATCATCCGTGCCTCAGCATTGCAGCACAGACAAATGAGCTGCATTCCCAAGGAACATGGCAGACCAAGTAGTAGATGACTTTATTGCAGTAGGAATAGCAGGTCAAAAATAGCAGATAACAGTTGTGCTCCTCAAGAACACCCCCAGCTCACCTCCAAAGAAATTAATCACCCACTGGTGCTTATTATTGCAGGGGTGGCTATAGTGTCCTATCATTTAGAATGTGCATGTGACTAAAGCATAGTTTAATCAGGTTTTCTCACTCTGAAAAATAAGAATAAGGAGTAAAAAGTCTGAGAAATACAGTAAAGAGACTGAAAAATAGTGCTAGAAAATTAAACTGTTCTGATAGAAGAAACCATATGACCTATTCAGGTAGAAATACCAGTACTAGAAGAAATAAGTGAGATGTGAGATTTTATTTTTTCTTAACTTACACTGTCACAGCACTTAAGGGCCTCAGTTCCTCTATGTCTCAGGACTTCAAACAAGAGCTGATGTTTCAGAAGTATTTGAAATACTGATCATGCTGCCAATGAGCATGATTGTGTTATTTAATTCCAAAATTGTGCCTCCTTAAATTAGGCATTCTCTGTAGATAAATTTCATACATTCAGTCACACAAACATCTTGGGATTTGAAGTGCTTGTAATTTTCCTGAATCCAGCTTTCTGTGAGAAAACAGTTTTCTTGGCATTGCCCCGAGACTGGCAGCAGTGCCCAGTTGCAACCCCCGCTGCGTAAATGGCATCCTGGGGCAGTTTGCTGTGCCCAGTTATGTCCCTGTGCCTTTCCCCAGCGTGCAGAGGGAAATCTCTCACAGAGCAGAGGGAATGGTTTCCACTGCAGCAGAACCAGAGCTGGGATTGCCACAGTGGGGGAGCTGGCCCTGCAGAGCTGCACACGGTGACTGCGGGCACGGAGCCATGGAATGGGAACGGTGCTGCTCAGCTTCAGATTTTCATCCTTTTTAACCTGCACTGGAAAATGAAATGGGTTTCTCACTCTGTTGAAAGAATGATAGGACTTCTAGGACTGAAATGGCTAAAATTCAGCATGGTGTAGTTGTAAGCCAGATTGTTGATGTTGACATTGACGCTGTTCATTGTGTCGTCTGAAAGAAACGGGCTGGATTATCAGGTGGTGTAAGTTGTTCTAAACATCTTCCTTAGGCATTTCAAAATATTTTAAGCAAGCTAGTTCAGTTTGAGGTGTCACAGCCTGAAAAATACATTTCTCCAATGGAAATTTCTAGCAAAAAAATGTAGCCAGGCAGCTTCTTTCTCCATCTTTCCAGCTTATCTGAATCCTGAGGACATCTTACTTTTCTGTCTGCATAGGAAGCAAGTCTGTGTCAAAAACTATTTAAATAACTGCCTGAAATCCAGATTTATGCTGACAGCCTGGGCTTCCTGCTTGGTGTGATGTGATTGGAAATTGTTATGCTTAAGTAACACAGGTTATGATAAGACAAGGACACTACTGACTAAAAGCACTGCTAGCCGATACCTTAAACACCTGCTCATTTTAATGTGAAAGTGTGTGAGTCCTGAGGTTTCTGAATGTTGCAATTTTTATTAAATATTTGCAAATGTCAGCCTCATCACATCAAGGAATATTAGCTAAAATTCAATGCAATAGAAAGTATTTTGTATACAGGACATTTATAGTCATATGGAATATTAAACCCACTCTCGATTTTTCTCCTTAACTGTACAAACAGAAACCCTAAAATCCAGAAAGGTCTTGTGCCATCGAGGCACTGTATTGCCTTGACCATTGTAAGACAGGGTTTCTCCTGCTGCTGCAGTCTCGTTTTGGGTTTCTAAGGGATTGCTGTGTCCCTCCTCATGCAGCACTTTCCCTGGATGCTTTCTATGAGCTGGCATTCTCCAGGTTGGGAGCACTCTGAGCACCTTAAATTAGCACATGGGCCTGCTGCAGCCCAGTATTCCTGGTATGTACCAAGAGGATTTTGTCTGCTGGTTTTCAGTTGCATGCCTTGGAAGGGTAACTAAGCTCTCCTGAAACTGTATGTTCAAAAGGGGATTTTTTGGGGGCTTATTTGGATTTCTTTGCCTCTAGCATAGCTTTTATATATAAATCTCCAAACAAACTTGCTTGATGTAAAAGGTGTATAGTACAGACACATCTTCTGAAGTGTAGGAAATAGAAAAGCAGATTTTTTTAAGTTGAAAGGCAGTTTGTAAAATCTTAAAATATCAAAACCAGGATAAGATAGCTGAAATCACACAAATAGAATGAGGAACCAGACTGTTGTATCAGCAGAAGAAAAACATTAGGTTAATCTGTATTACAACATTCTGAAAGAATACAGAGCTTTGAAAACAGCTTTCACCGGGGGGTGGGACATTTTACTTTTATGTAGAGCTTTTGTTCATTTAGAATTGTTTACTCCAGCAAGCAATCCTGTTCTCTTTGTTTGACTGATTTTTCCCATTTGGCAGACCCTTTGCAATCACATGGATAACATTCTTCTTTCCACTGAGACATAGAGAAACTGTTCTTTATTGACCTTGCTTGTTGTCCTAAGTGACAAAAATATATTTATATGCTAGGTGAACTGAATGACTTCATCACTGACTTTTAATTGAAAATTCTTCAAAGCAAAAACCTCAAAGAGCTGCTTTCAATTTTTTTTTTAACAATCGAGTGACTTCTTACTAGCAAACAGCTCTGCCTTAGCTACACATGCACAACTCCCACAGCTGCACAAAGAACTGTGTGCAAGTATCTGAGTGCTGCAGCTGTGTCAAAACATGAAAAAAAAATGCCATGCAAAGAAGAAATACAAATTTTGGGTTGGGTAGGGGATTTTTATTTATTTATTGAACAATAAATAAATAAAAAAATATTGAAAAGTATTTGCTATACAAGTATGAATGTTTCTGTGCCTGTTAATCTTTTTTTTTCTTTTTTCTTTTTTTTTTTTCTTTCTTTTTTTTTTTTTTTTTTTTTGTATGGTTGCAGTGGGAAGCAAATTAGAAGAGCAGGACAAACAAAATCCTTCAACATCTCAATTTTAGTTTCCTCACTAAAATTGCAAAGCACAGTGCTCATGGACTTTGTGATACTGATTTAGAAACCCTTTTTAGCATTAAAGTTTTACATGTGAGGTATTGTAAATCAAAGGCAGGTTATGTAAGGACCCAGCATGCCAAGACAAAATTCAGTCTTAGTCTAAGTGAGCACAATTCTGTTAAAACAGATGGAATGGTGCACATCTAGCCAAAAATGTTGAATCTGTTTTCATCTTGTGTTTGTGAATGCTCACTTAAAACCTTTACTGACAAGAACAAAACTCTGGATGAAATTAAACAGGGTTTTACCCACATGTAGGTAAGTGTCAAATCTTCATTTATCATAAACTGGATGTTTCTGACTCCTGCAGAGCTATGACAATTCACACAAATCCAGGCTCTGTTCAGAATGGTCTAATTTGCAGAAATGCTCTGCAATTCCAATGGAAGGCAATGAGGGCTGGGGTTGCTCTGCATTTCTTCAGGGGAGAAAAGTCAAAGGCTCTTTTGTTACCACTTAGCACATGTGCTCAGAAAGTGTAGAATTATGATCTCAGTGTCAGCATTTTCAGCAATCTTATGCAGGCTACTTACTTATATCAGGTCCAAGCACATTAAAAAATCAGATTGGGCCCCTTGCTAAGGAATCCTTATTATTTTTTTAACTTAGTCCTGACAAGAATAGTCCTATTTCTGCCTTTTTAATTTCACAATTAGATAAGATAGTAGCAGAACTACAAATAATTCCGTGTAAGTCAAAGGTGTAGTTGTTTTGACTGAACACCTAATGAAACACGGGTGGTCTGCAGCACTTGCTGTGGTTCCACATGAATTTCTTCCTTCACTTGCACAGACTTTGTCCTCACTGTTAGACCAGTACCCATCCCTTGGGTTTTCTCCTGGTTGGTGATGATGGTTCTTACACCAGCTCTGGAAAATCAAACCAGCTGAAGAAAAAACCTCTCATTCTGCACTCTTCAAGCCCAGCTGAATTCTTCTGTCCCCTTCTTTTCACAAGCAATTGAACCAGAACAGGAAACTGCTGAGCCAACAGGGGAAAAAAGTATCCCTTTTGTGTTTTGAGTTTGGCTCTGAGTTCCTTGACTGGCTCACCGTGGGTGTGATAGGTGCCAGAGCTAAGGGTAAGTGTGGGAATGTGGCCAGAGGTGGAGGAATGTGGTTTAGGAACCCTTTCCTTCAGTTCAGCTTTGCTTACATTGAGGAACTGCACCAAGGAGCAATTCTGTCTGTAGCAGTGGTCACTGCAATGGAAAAAAATCTGTGTGGATTTTAAAACCAAGAGGACACAAATGTTGTAAGTAAATAGTAAAGCCTTTATTCTCGTTAAGAACAGCATTTTGAAAATAAAACATTTGCCCATGCTTTACAACCTTTGTAGTTTTGTATACTTATGTACAGTCATCATGGTACACATTGATTGTCTTGAAAATCCTTTAAAGATGTACTCAGTAAGAGACCAGTATGCAACAATCAGCGGAAAAAGGGTACGTTATAAAACACACGTTAATACATTTAATAAATATATATCATCTATCAAAAATGAGCTTCAGCTCTCATCAATTAATAAAAAGCACCTGCTTTGTAATCCTGTAAGTTGGTAGAATAATCCAATTGTTTTATTATAAAAGCTACAATGCTCCCTTTTGTATGGCCTTTGGTTAGACCCAAGGCATCGAGCTCAAACGAAGCCAACCAAGATGCCTGTGTTTACACTAAAAGCAGAAACAGCTAATTCCATAGTATTTCATGTACCTTGTTTATAGAAGCAGCTGGATGTATTGAGAGTGTTCTTCTGAAAATGCTACATATTTTCTGGCAAGTGTCAAACACCCTCAATCCATCTGAAAGCTGAACAGGATCTGTAGGACTTTGAACTCTTTTCCTGCCATTGATCAAAAGCTGGTCAATTAAAATCTGGTTTTGCTAATAGATGCTTTTGTCAGATGCTTTTTGATTTCATTTTTCTGCATGGAAACACCATGAGCACATTACCATCAAGGGACATAGTAGCTTTTATAGTATAAAAGCTAATTATAATCAGGAGAACTGTGAAAGGCTTGTGCTTAGTTACTTATTCATGTTGTTCACAGATGCTCTACATTCTAGAAAACTTTCAAAAAAGGCAAAAGTAAATACTGTAACAAAAATATAAGTTAACATAAAGGTGCCTTTCTTCAATTACAGTTTTATTTTGGGGTATTTTACATCACAGACTAGTGACTTACAAAAAAAAAAAGTTGCTCATTACTAATTGTAAAAAGTTGGAAAATAAAGACCCTCCTAAATCTATTGCCACACTTTCACCACCACACATTAAACCCAATCCTGCTAATTTTTAATTCAGTGAGTAGTCCACATGACTAACCCAGTGAGACTAGTCATGTGAACTGCAGTTTGTAAGATCTGGCCATATCTTTGCATAAGCCCTGAAATCCCAAACAACTTCATCAGAAGCAGGATTGGGAACTCTATCAATTCAGTCACATCTAGAAAAAGAGAAAGAAAATTTCTTAAGATAACTATGTCTTGTATAGTTTTTGTCAAAGGTCTGTAAAATATGTATTATAATTCATAAGTCTTGGTTGTAGCATGATAAACTTTTTAAAAGAAACCTGTTCTACCATTTATGCCATGGTCATCTTATATGTTTTTATGATAAGAGTTTTATGAGGGATTTTTTTTTCTAACTGATTTTTAAAAGCAAAATTCTGCAGGCAAGTGATGGTAATTGTTTTTTTTTATTGTTCCAAATTACATGTCTTCTGGGTGGCTATCATTATCTTAAATATTATCTTACTTGATCAAAGCTCTGCTCATAACAAGCAAAATGTATTTCTAAGTCACTGGATAGCATGCAATATCCACCCCTACCCTACTTGGTTACTAAGGCCATCTAGTTACAGACAAAATGAAATAAAGGATCCCTAAAACAAGCACATGCTTCCTTTGCCTCGAGGAGGGGAGGGCAGGGGGGAGCTGACATACTCCTTCACTCATGCATGACAGAAAAACATTGCTTCTGGAGGAGAAGGGCTTTGAAATAAAACCCCATAAGATGATCATGGCAAGAATGGCAATAGATATTTTCCCATATATATATATACATATATCTGTGTGCAACACTCAGGGACTGGTCTTGCAGCCTCTGTACCTTACGTAGACCTACGGGTGTCGATGGGACTACTCGTGGGAGTACAAGGCTGCAGGACTAGGCTCCTAATTCAGTAGAAATGGAGGTACATGAGGAATCAGGAAGACTCTTGAAAAATAAAAAGCTTGTCTTTCTTCTGCAGTATACAGCAAGTAACTTCTCTCTGTGAAGCTACTAAGCTATTCAGTTATTTGTAGTTTTATTTTTTTTTAGTTTGAAAATATATATTTATTACAGCATATGCAAAGTTTAATTGTTATATGTTTCCTATGCCTTCAAGTAAAAACAATTAGCTTTTAGTATTGAGGAAAGCTAAGATTAACATTGGCCAAACAGTGAGGATACAGTGATGTTTTCAACGTCCGATATGCATTAAATGTTAAAGAAAGGAATGATTGCTTGAACATAATGAAAAACCATGGCACAACAAATGGGCAATGGGAACCGTTTAAATAACCTGGAGAAAACAAAGATGAAAAGCTTTGAAAACTCTGCCTTATATCAACTCAAGAAAATGGGTGGGGAGGACTAGGGAAGAAACCACCTTAAATAAACAAAAACAACAACAAACCACCTCCAGCACAGAGATTCTACTCTCTAGGCACTAAAATGCACAACCACATTTAAACGCACGAACACCTGCAGTCCAGGGCAGCGGAGCGCCCGCATGAACCGGCCCGGGGCTCCCACCGCCCCGGCTCCTGCCTCAGCCCGGCCCGGCCCGGCCACGACAGCCCGCCCAGGAATGGCTTCGGGAGCTGTGGGCTCTGCTCACACCCGCCTGGGGCTGCGTGGCTCGGAACCCACCCCTCGGGCCGGGAGAGCCGCCCGTGCCCGACCGCGCTTCTCCGCTCCCCCGAGAGGCTCCGCAAGGCGCATGAAACGCACAGAGCTCCAGAACTGCACCTCCCGGGCCAGCTTCCAGCGAGCAGAGCTCCTGAGAGAGCAGAGCATCGGCCCGCAGAGCTTCTCAAAGAGCAGAGCATCGGCCCGCAGAGCTCCTGAGAGAGCAGAGCTCCTGAAAGAGCAGAGCATCAGCCTGCAGAGCTCCTGAGAGAGCAGAGCATCAGCCCGCAGAGCTCCTGAGAGAGCAGAGCTCCTGAGAGAGCAGAGCATCAGCCCGCAGAGCCATGGGGACCGAGCTGCCCCAGAGGGAGCGTGTCTGCCTACACACGATGCTGCGTGACTGCACAGCACAGCTAGGGAGGGAGCAAACTGGGGACTTCTCATGACGTTGGAAATGACAGGAAAAGGAGAAAAATGGAAAGAAACCCCGCGTGTTTTCGCGCTGTAGTGGCAATCTCTTGTGGCAACATGAGTTAAGTTTAGGTGAGAGGAAGGTATTTTGCAAGCAACTGGCAACCACCAAAACCAGGCTTGTCTAGCACACAAGTTACAGACAAGAGAGTATCTTACACTTCAGAATACAACATCTCCTCTGCCAATTTAAGGTGTGCCTACTTCTGTTTTAAATTAGATTCAGCTTCAGTTGTACAATTTTGTTTTTGCAATTCTCCATTCAATGGTGTTCACATTTAGCAAAATCCTCTGTAGGATTTAGAAAGATCCTGGATGTTTTGTTGCTTTGTTCTGGTACTGTTATGGATTCCTTCCCTCAAAGACACACTGCCAGGGAATAACATCTGCAACAAGGATTCTTATTCTCTACAGCCTACAGCCTTTCACCAGAGGTGTCGTCCAGTGTAACTTGGCGGAGCAGTTGGTATCTGGAAATAAGGATAACAAACCCATAACTGAGAGATCTAGACTGTTCAAAAATCAGTGTTTATCACACTACATGTACAGGACAGCTTTCCAGATGGCAGTTCTAGAGCAAAGTGATACAAAGAAAGTCATCTTCCACCCATACAGTGCATTTATCTCTCTGTAAAACCATGACTATACATACACATGACCTTTGTATCCAACTCAGAACAAAGCAAAACAAACAAAAACCCCAAATTCTCAAGCTTCTCATCCTTTAACTGCCTTCTCCCTGAGCTGCGCATTTTGGTATCAGAAAACAGGCAGAGATGAATTAAAACATCAGAAGGATGCAATCCATTACTGACAGCAAAGCCAAGCCTTTTCATTTTACTCAAGTTGACATGTTTCACACAGTCTTACCACAGAGGAGAATCCCTGTATCTAGTCCCTCTTGTCCACTAAAATCAGCCAGAACTTTACTTACTTAGAAACAAAACCAGACCTGCAATTTCATTTTAAACTGGCTTTAACTGTGGAGGTTGAGTTATGGATTCAGCTTATGATTCAAAAGAAAGAAAACCCAACTCACATGAGTACAAACTGGCTCATGAGTAGATTTTTAAGAAGCATGTAGATATGCATGAAAAATGTGGGAATGAAAATTTTTCGTTTTCAACAGTATGCCTGCTATATGAAATGTCTTAAGTGAAAATTAGACATAATGTGAAAAACATTTGTAAAGTCTGTTTGGCATCACTAAACCAATCTTACAACAACCAGGCTGCAAAAATACAGGTCTATCAAAGATATGCCAAACCACTGTCCAAGGAAGAAAAATTGATGCTATTAACATGAAAATAGTCTATATTCCTCTTTTATGAATCCCTTTACAAATCTGTAAGTTACAAATAATTACATGTATTTTAGAAGAAAATGGAATATATGTGAGAGACAACCATTATCTGCAATAATTATTTAAAGTAACATACTGCCTGAAAACATCTGTATGACTCACACCATCTTGAAAAAATCAGGTTAGAAATGGTGTCACTTAATAGTTATGTTAAATACCTTAATACAAATTTAATTTGAAAGGCCCATTGAATGTGTTGTCTTACAAAAAAACTTGGTTCACTGAAGCTGCACTGCAAAATGTGAATAGCCAAGTAAACAAATGCAAAATACTTGTTAACTACATATTTTCTAGAGGGAAGGGAAGCATTACATGCATAATTTCTGCCTTAATTTTCATTTATAGCTTTCCCCCTGCTGTGAATAAACTAAAGCAGGTTTTTCAATTAGTAACAGTTGTATATATCAGTGCATTTCAAAGATTTCTTAAATCATCACATTTTGATACTTACAGTCCCACCATTTAGCACAACTGCCATCTCAGTTGGCTGATAAACATTGCTTCTAAAAGGAGCACTGGGCCGGCTTCCCAAGCTGCCGTTCCGAAATCCTGCTGTCCTGAGCGCTGCGTTGGGAAACAGAGATCAGCTTAGCACACGGTTAAAGCTGGGCAATCACAGAGCCTCCTCCTTCCAGTTTAGTTATTGGGAATTTTGCCACTGATTTTAACTTCCACGTTGCTGTTGGACAGCTGTTTCCCTGACACGTTGGGAACGGATCTCAGAAGAATCGGATTTACATTAAATGAACTGTTTGTTAGGGAGGGGGGAAAAGGAACCACATTTCTGAAGCTTGCTCAATCTCATTTCAGTGGGAGCTCAGTGCCTTTAGTCACCAAACTTGTGATGGCTCTTGCACAACGCGTTTTGCAAAGTGCTCCCCGTGTTGGTCTGGGTACTGTGGGGTTAAGTGAAATGTGTTACATTTTGCTTTCTATCAAACTCGGTGCACAGGGATCCAAAGCCTTGCTCAAGCCAGTAAGCAAATGCTCACAACCCCCTGAGCATTACTTCAGCATGACTAGCAAATAAGGATTTTCCAGATGTTTCAGATTATATTTACTCTGAGAAACTAGAAAGATGGAGTAAATATTGCTTTAGAATAGCTTAAACATGGCAAATCACTGAAGCCAAAGAGAAGATACTGAGTGTCTTTTTGGCTGTTTATACCAGGAATAAAACAGTCTCCCCATTAATTTTAGTACAAGTTTGGGTTCAAGATGTAAATTCTGAATGAGATGTGCATAATGAGGGATATGCTGCTCTCTCTAAAGCAGGCTGGGGATTGGCACACACAAACTCCCTCTTTAATTTCGAGGGTAAATAATGACTTCAGTGAACTCGGACGTGGCCAGGGAACAGAGCTCATTTATCCACACGACGTGCGTGGTCACAGTAGGCAGAACTCATCTGTCAGCTGCTAAACACAAACATGCCCAGTTCAGGCACCTGGGGCAAGAACTTCTCTTAGATTTAATTCAAACTACAATTCTACAGTCTGGCTGAAATCATGAATGAGCTGAAGTTTATGAGAATTTCAGCAGAGACTTTAATGAAGCCATGATTTATCTCCAGTGTAGCTGCTCTGTGTAGGAGAAGATTTAAATGGATCCTACTGCCATATTATGCTGTCCTCTATCCAGTGCTACTCCTCTCTTTGGAAGTTGTGCATCAAGATGAAGAACAGTACTGATTTAGCACGGAAATTTAGAAATTCCACCCTGCAAATGCTCAGCTGTTGACTTCAGATACATATAGACCCTCACTTGCTCTCCATTTGGAAATTACATATTTTTGGAGAACACTGGGAGAAAAAAATGTGACAATACCTAAACTAGAACTAAGTATTTTCCATTAGACATTTAACCATCTCAAGGTCAGTAACTTTTTTTTTGCTATTTGACTACTTTTTGTGTGATAAATACACACGATTGCACTGGTATTTGCTATTACACACAGACACAAAAATCTTTATCATCATTAAAATATTTACACAGAATATTTACACAAAATATACAGTCATTTCAAAGCTATCTTAAAGAGCCAGTAAATTCAATTTCATATTGCTAAATTTTCCCTATTATTGCAAAGAGCTACAGTTTTTTTGACATGAGAATCTGTGACAAAGCTTGTAGACAAAATACTCATTTTGGATTTTTTTCTCACACTGGTTTTACCATTTTTCCTTGTACTTTTTACATTGATATTAAATAAATCCACTTGCATAGGATATATATAGGTAAAAAACAAGCAGTACTGAGGATATTTAATATTTGCCAAAGCCTCTTTGTAAACACATTTGAAATTTTGTTCACTTTGCTTTTAGGTATTGGCTGTGATGATGACTGGTAGTATTAGAAGTTATTAAATGAAATTTAATGATACCAGAGCTGCTTGGGCTTGGGTTTCCTGACAGCTGTAGCATTCTACATTTCACATCCAGATTTCTCTTGTTTAAGGCAATTAAATTCTCTCTGCCTACAGAGGCTGCCCTACTAGTGTGCACTGCACTTCCAGAGAGCACTGAGAACTCAGTCAACTGCTCTTTGTCCAGGCTTTCTAAATACTTTGATATCATTTTAGAAGGCACACATATGAAAAATAACTCTTCTGAAGAGATATTACAATGTATCATATAATTATTAAAATCCCAGATTAGTAAACTGTTTTAATGATGTTTAAGTTAGTGACTTTAAAATAGGTTTGCTCTATTAATGCTTAATGTTGTTCCTGGCATAGAGCAGCTCTTGTTGCAATGCATAACTTGAAGGTACATTTTTGCTAAGAAAGAGGGCATCAAGGAGGATATGTGCTTGTTTGAACCTGAAGGCTGACCAGATTCTTAAAATGCTGCTCTTAAAAAAGAGGAAAGTTATGAAATTATTTTATACAAGTATTAGTGGAAATAACAAGAATTAATGGAAAATATGTTTGTCCAGGCATGTTTTCTACTTAAAGCTAACTATTTACTGGAACAAGTATTACAGTCAGGAAACTCTTTTCTGCTTATCATGTTGTCCAAACTTTACAGCTAGTAGATCTTCTCTTCTTAAACATCACTCTTACATATGAAGTAGTTGAAGAAAGTACCCTTCCAATAATTTCTGAACTCTTGATGATGAATTCTCAAGCTGAGTCTAATTAAATGGATGAAAGAAGAGAACATTCTCTTCATACCTGCACAGCCAATTGCTCACAGACTCCAGGTGCTTTGCCACTGACAGCCACCAGCACAGGGATCTGACTTAGTGACTTTGTTATTATTAAAGTATTTACTTTAAGTCTCTACCATGCTGCTAAATTTTGTCTCCAAATCCTGCTGTCCCAAGCCAGTCCCTAAAGAACTGCTGCAAAGGAATATTTAATCTGTTCTGATGTATTAAAAATTCCTTTATGCCATGGGAATAGGAATGACTGGCATTTATTACGGTATACATTAACAAGGGCATCAGATAAGGAAATCTATTTTGTATTGTACTGTCATTCAGATAGATTAAAACAGAACATAAATTGCACTATAATAGACAGTATAATGATTTTGTAGCTATCATACATCTATCCATTTCACAAAAAAACTTAATTACTGGATGATTAGATCAGAAAGGAGCTTCCAGTTCTTTTTTAAAAATGCATCCATGAATGGGAAGGATACAGAGTGAAAGATCCAATTTTGTTCTTAGATCTGCCTTAGCCAGAAATAGCTTCACTGAAGGCACTGCAGTTACCTTACTATGAAATTAATTTAATGGGGGATGGAGGACAGTAAAAAAACCCCGCCACAAAAAACAAAAAAAGAGTGCTTTTAACAGTCCATAGTGCAACTGCCTCTTGCTTTAGAACATTAGTAATAACAACCATTCTTTTATTCATGTGATTTTTTTTTTTTTGTTTTGTTTTACCACTGCCCTTATCATTTCTATTCCCAGAACAAACTTCCCTACTAGAAGGAGACCTTTAAAGTTCCTGCTAAAAAACTTAAGAGGAAAAAATGCCTTCATGACCTGACACTCACTTTTGTGCCAAAAAAAAGTGCTGTTCTCCTCCGTGCCTGGTCAGCACCCAGGGAAACATCAAACCCAGAGGAAATCTGACACATAAAGATGAGCAGGAAGGTGAAGTGCCTGGACCATGTGCTCTAAGCTTTCTTTCAGGGGCTGCCAGAGCAATGTAATAACAACTGCCTGAACTACCAATTCTTCTCAATTAGAGTCAGAAAACATCAGTGTGACTTGTAACAAAATCCTTTACCCAGGTGTGGGGCAGCACCAGACCACAACCCCTGAGATCACCACGGCGCTGCTGCTTCCCACCGCTGGTCACGGAGGCACCCCTGGCATTTCTGGCATGGGTTACACCTTCAGCAAGGCTCTGGAGCTCTGAAGCACCCAGTTCTTGCTGGTCCTTCCAGCAATCACTCAGAAACATTTCCACTGCAAATTTTAATGACGTGTGATCACGTGCTACAACAAGGAAGGCAAATTACCTCAAAACCTTTGTGAAACTCAGATGTTCAAGCCTTGAGAACAAAGGCTGTCTTTGAACTGTCTGTAAGCTACTTGGCATTTTTTCCCTCCACAGGGACACAAAGTGTCACAAAAGCCATTTTAATGCAAAGGTAATTAATAGTAATTATTTTGTTGCTCAAATGGTTGAGTAATTTGTAACATACACCATTTTTTTCTGAGGTTTCAGGAAAATATTTTGCATTAAATGTTGAAAACTGCTAATTACAAAAAATGTCATTGAACTTATTTAAAGGTTATTTTTCCACAATGATTTTTTTATTATTTTGGTGTTGCCTTTGCATTTGAAATTGTTTGTTTTTTCAAAGAAAAATCAACATGTGGAAGATAATTTTAACCTATGTATTGTCTGCCTTTTTTTTATTTTTCTCTCTCACTAGAGAATATCTTAGTGAAAATTGTAAAAGGGAACAAGGTGTAGTGTGAAAATTATTGTATTTATCATGACCTTCGTTTTCAACACCTAAAAATGTCTCATACAGAGAGTTTTCTTGACACTATAAAAAATATAGTCCTTTATAGCCAATTTTTACCTGCATTATGTTCATCCATTGAAAAGGCTTTGTTTTCCATGTAGCTCCGAGGAAGCTGTATATCTTCCTCAAAAGCGGTTTCACGCATCCTCGGCTGAGAAGTATCAAAATAATTGGGTGTGTTTTCCTGCTGTGATGGAAGGATGGTACAGTGGACCTCTGGGATGGCATGAAAAATAACAAAGACCCAGCCACTGGACACCAGTGCAATGGCCAGAGTGGGATCACTCCATTTGTCTCTTCTCTGGAGCTCAGCGTTACCGAAGAGGTACATAGTCATCCAGGCTACCCAAATCAGGATGGAAAAGAAAAGGGTTATAATGAGGCATACTCCGTTTTTCTTCCATTTCTTGAACTTCCCACAGAGAGTGAAAAACGAAAATCCCATGGTAAAGACCATCAGGAACATAACGTAAATGGAAGCCATCACAAAATCCATGGGTTCGTAGCTGCAGGCCAGCTTGTTGTCTCTGACAACCGTCAGGATCAGCCACTCGGTCGCGATGATGACCTGCACCAGCATCAGGCACGTGGCCACCCCGGCCAGGTGCCAGCCAGACGGGCTCTTCCCGTGGCGAACGAGCCTGCCAAGTCTCCAGGCTTGGGCTAGCAAGCAGGAGAAGCACAAAGCAAAGATAACTCCCCAGAGAAACCTTCGGGTCGAGCACACCATTTCATCTTCCTGGATGATGAAAGCAAACGTCAGCCCAAACAGTCCCAGAGTCCCGAAGAGAAAGAGGAAGTGCATTCCCAGGGGGCTCTTCTTCTCTTTGTCCTTGATGAAGGGCAGCCTCACCAGCAAAATCAGCATCAGCAGCAGCGTGGTCAGCACGCCTGCCCCCGCCACCGCCTCCAGAACGATGCCCCAGATGGCATCCAGGTCACACAGGTACACGTACTGGGGCAGGAGATCCAGCCCGCAGCCCCGGGGAGTGCTGGAGTTCTCTGAAGAGCCATAGCTGATCACCAGCAGGAGGAAGAAACCAATGGCTGGGTAGGTTTTCATTTTTCTGTCTGAGACAACAAAGTATTTGTTTAGCGGGAGCTGAGGTTGGAGGATCTCACAGCCACTGAAGCCCAGCTTGTTCCAGTGGCCCATGTTTACAGTTTTTGCACTGGATCTGCAGCTGGCACAGCCTCCCCCAGCCCCCTTCACTGCCCTCCCAAAAGCTGCTTTTGCCTGTTGTACTCAGAATACAAAATGACTAATTGCTCTGTTTGCACAGATTGAAAACAACATTTCCAAACTCTGACCCTGCAAATGGCCTGCAACACAGCCAGAAACAATTACGTATCCTGTTTCAAATATTACATTATCTGCAATACTTGGACACTTACTAGCTGTTTAAATGTAATACCCCATTCAAATCAAGGTGTTTAAAGCGTGTTTAAGTTGCACTGGGCCTGATGCAGGTGTAAGCAATCACAGGCAGTCACAACAAGACTGTCCCACAGCCTTGCTCCTTGTACTGGAACAAAGAGGCAAAACCTCTTTTTAAATTATTACTTTTTAAAGGATAAAACAATCCAAGGAAAATAAACATTGTACATTCTTAAAAAAAGAAAAACCTTGTTTTCATGCTCGGTCAATATGCAGTTATCATATTCACTTCTTTCATCCTCTTCCAGATATTAGATTGCATTTGGAAATGGGAATGGTAGTCTAGAAAAATCCCATATTCTGTGACAATGGTGCACACATGCAGTGTCATCAATCAACTAATCAAAAATGAATGCCTCATTGTGCTTCTTAGCCAGTCCAAAGCCATTCAAAGGAGACAAATAACAAAACCCAGAGCATCTCTTTCTTGGATCCAGAGAGTGGACAATGGTAAACACTCCAGGAACCCAGCACATCCCACTTCACCACCAGGACCAAAAGCCTAGACAAATCCCAACTTGGTTTAGGAAGAACATGGGTTAGGTGCTTTAAAAATACACATTATGGTGTTTGCTTTTATTAAGCAAAGCAGATTACTAAAAAATGTAACCTTTAACTCCCAGTCTGCCTCAGCCACAGCCCTGTAAGGTAGTCTGGAGCAAACACGGTGAGGAGCAGATATGAAACCTGACTCTGTTAACCTTCACCAGCAGTTAGTGCTGCAGGTTCCAGCAGGATTTTCCTCATTGATGTGGGGGATGTTTCAGACTCCCACTGGCACTGCATGACCACGAGGAAGAAAAGCAGCACACAAGCAGGCAGGGATGTTAGGCAAGGTGAGTCACACGGCTCATGGGACGTGTTTAGGGTGCAAAGTGAAAAGCAGAGAAACTATCAGGAGCTCTTCTGTAAGCCATACAACAGCCCTAAATGGTTACCTGTCCAAAGGGATTTCATAGATTAGAACTGCTTTTAATGAAAACTTGGAAAACTTTAATGAGAGTTGAAAATGATTTAAAGTAGTGGTGCAGTGTTGCATTGAGCACAGTCATAACCAACACAAAAGCTACTTACACAGACTGTCTGAAACTGTACTGTGTCTCTTAAGAGCTGAGAACTATGGACTTACAGTCCTGTAATGACCAAAGTTAAATCCTGAGGCTCTGAATCCTCAAACCAATGTTTCCTTGTGTCATGACCAATGGCCATGTCCAGCCTCTATCAGGAGACAGATGATGAAGTTGATGATGTTTCCTATCAGGGGCACCAAGAGAGCAAACATGCCAATATAAACCTGTAATGACTCTATGGTCTGCACCCACACAGGGTACAAAACATCCTATTACAAACCTTCATCTCAGAAGTGGAAGCTGTGACAAATAATGTGATGTGGGCTTGGACAAACAGGAAATGGGTAATGGGTGATCTCTGCCAGCCCACAGATATTAATCTTTGCACTATTGGAAGGGCTTCAATGTTCTAACGATGCAATGACCTGCTAAGGACAAATTATTTGTTTTTTCTACCTATCTGTAATTTACTTCATGGGGGATTGGTAGAACATACACTTGTTTATATCTGATTTGTGTAACAGGTTCTTCAATGATTCTGTTGCAACACCCACGTTAAAAACACTGACTTTACAGACAGAAAACTAATCATCAGTGAAATATATTCATTTTTGTATTGAATATACGCTCAATAAATCTCCTTGCCCTTTGAGTACATAATTAACTAGAAGAAAACATTCCGAAGATAGTTCTCCAATTCCTTTCATGCACAGTCAATTCCTACTGCAACTAGTGAATTTCCTCTTTAGAGTCTTTGAAACGTCCTAAAAAGTGTGAAATGGTCAGTGCCTGCTGACACAAAAGGGGGAAACCACTGGGACCTACTAAGGCAATGCCCCAAACCAGTGGTACCATTTTAAGAAGTAGGAGGTCATGTGGCAAATGATTCAAAATTCATTCTAAATGTCACCCAAACTAGAAACAATAAACAGCCCCAAAGTGAGGGTCATGTTAATTTTCCACTATCCCATCACTTACAAATTGTGGTGAGCATGGACTAAATTGCTTTCAATACTAGCTTTGTTGATTAGCTACTCTCCAAAGACCTGGGGGGTAATTAATTAAGTGCAAGTATCCCCAGTTCTAAGATATTTTCCATTTTTCTGGTTACTTTATTCATGTCATGTAACCCTCATGTGATTGAGCTATTCTAGGACAGTCTGTTTCCATGGAGATTGTGCTGCATGGGTAAGCAGTCATATTGTCAGGCCATCATTTGTTTCCTCTTCCTATTTGGAAGTGTTTGGGAGGGGGAAGGGAGGGTTAATGAATTTGAGTATTTCCCCCTCCATGAAGAAGTGGTTCATTTTGGAAAGGGGGAATTAAGCTGTGACAAAATATACTCAAGAATTCAAAATACAAGTTCTGAAATACAGAGGTCTTCAACTCAAGAGGAATTTTCCCAAGTTACTTTGTGCTTTTGGGAAAGCTGATGGGACATAATCAGTGGTCCTCTTAGAAAGGTCCCAGACAGCCACAATACTGACCAAGAAAATCTGTAGGACTGCTGACAGCTACTCCTGATGAAATAATTCCCTACGCAGTGTCAGTGAATCTCACTAAACACTAGATCCTGCCCGGAGCAAAGCTGGAAAGCAGAGCTTGAAGTCTCATAACTGCTATCAACAAAGCAGTTTGTTTCTAACCTGTTTACTATCAATTTCTGCCTAACTGGGTAAAAACAGGCAACATTAATAATCTACTCCCTGAGACATTACAAGCCAAAAAAAACTCCTCTTTCTAGTGCTGATACTCAGCACTGAATACAGACAGTTATAAAAACAAGGGGAAGCACTGCATTACAACACACAAGTTTGGCAAGTGAACATCACAACTTTAGCTAAAACTACACATTCAGTCATTTTAAGGGAAAACTGTGAAGTGTTTTTTTGTTTGTTTGTTTGTTTGTTTTTTCCCCAGAAAAGTATCATTTTAAGGGAAAACTGTGAAGTGGGGGTTTTTTTGTTGTTTGTTTTTGGTTTTTTTTTTTTTTCCAGAAAAGTTGTTTTTGCAAAAACCAGAAATACGTCATTATGAGGGTTTTATTAAAACAGAATCTTCCTCAAGCCTATGCAGTGGGTAGGATGGCAGAGTTCTGTGCCTCTTGAGATTTTATAGTAAAATTTTACTGCACATTCTTGCTGGTTGTTACTTAAATCAGTAGCTGTAGAGGAAGAGTATATTCACATCTTTATGTCTAGATTAGCTCCTGCTAAAGTTATGCAACCTCACAGTAGTAACAATAGCGCTCTATTCGGCTGGCACTCCACTCCTGCAGCCAGAGCAGACAGCAACACAGGAGAGCCACAGAGACATTCCAGCACAGATACAGCCAGTGCACCAATACATCCCCTGCACTCTGCAATGAACTGTTCACAGGGAACAAAAGCAACTTGAGATTTTTTTTTTCCCCTCCAGATTCCTCTCCAAAACTTCACTTCGGTAAAGCCATTAAGGCAACATACCTGAAACCAGAGCAATCAGGAACACTTGCAATCAATATTCTAATCAATAAGCCTTACACATTTTAGGCAAAAGCAGTGAACAATTAGCAGGACAGCTACTGTTTCAATCTAGTACTCAATTTTTGGCTCAAAATCTGCTCTCAATGACAGCTGTAATAACTCCACTGTTTTCTACAGAGTGAGGTCCCTTCATTACATTATCTGGCATAGAGTCACTACAGAAATTGCAGACACAAAGCTGCCCCAGCAGGTACAAACTACAATTACAAGCAACTAAGCAGAAATAGAAAATCTCACAGTTGTCATCAAAAAGTTGTCACAGTTAAAAATCAATGAGGCTTTCTGTAGCTAAAGTATCCTGACCAAAGCTTGCAAAGGGATCAAAAAGACACAGCTGTATGCTGCTACAGAATATATATACAGAATAAATGTGCAATTGTGCAAAGAGTTAAGGTTAGGCTATTCATGGCTAGATGCATTATCTGCTTTTGTACCTGGAGTTCAAATGTTAGTCAGCTGACACAGGGAGATGCATTCAATAGCAGTGAAGAAAAACAATCTAGTAAATATAAGCAATAGTAGCACAAATAGTAACCACACAGGCAGAAGACTGGTTCACTGTGCAATTTCCAAAAGAGAACCACCCCCGCCACGAAGTGTTGTGGAGAGATGCGAGTGAGTGAGGAATTAATCACAACACAGGATCTCTGCCAGCTGCTTTTGATCAGAACTGAAGAATGAGCTCCAGGACTGATAACAGAGCAGCAACAGCCAAGCTGAGATCAGACTACTCAAGAGACGTGTGTATTTCCAGAATAATAATTAATAGTGCAATTGTGCATTGTAGGCAAAAATGCAGCAGTGATTTTGACAGCCCCTGCATCAGACACACATCATGCTCTGCTACAGCCTCGCCGTTACGCAAGGCAAGACCCCACTCCAAAAAGGACATGTAGAAAAAGTATTGCTTTCATTTAGAAATACTTTGTGATGCTGAATTCACTATGAAATTATCTAATTTTCTAGGAGCTGAATTCCCTTTGGTCAGAATCAGTGTATCACGTGTGCCTAGGTACTTCTGACCACAGTGCCTGGTGTTGAATTCACAAGCGACAGCAATCAATTACAGCAATCAACCTTTTTATTTTCTTTGCTAATTCTCAGACTGTTTCTATTCATGTCATAGCCTTCTAGCAGATGGGTTCTGTCACGGGGTTTCTCCTGATGTAGCGAGACAACACCTCAACCCTGGTACTCCCTGCTGGTAAGCGGCAAGGGGATCCCCGGTACAGCTACTCGGGGCTAGCGCTGATCGCCAAGCTGGGTGTTTGGGCTCAGCACGCAGGAAATCCTGTTAGCCTTGGGATAAACATTAAGGGCAGGTGTAAACAAAGGGTTCACATAAGTGCTAAATCCTCTCTCTGCGTGGCTTTGCGGAGAGGTAACACAGAGAGAGGGCTTCTATTAACTAGAGAGAAAACTCTGCGCACCCGCACCCAGCCGGAGCCCCGCCAGCCCCGGGACCGGACCGCGGCCGGGGGCCAACAAAAGGTTCTTCCCCCTCGGCCTCTTCCCTGCCACTGCCCTTGAGCCCCCGCTGGGGCAGGCGATGAGGAGCCGGCCTGGGCCGCAGCCGCCCCGCGCAGCACGGCGCTGCGAGGCCGAGCGGCCGCTCCGTGCGGCCGGGGCGCGCTGCCTCCGCGCGGGGCTCGCCGTAATCCACCGGCAGCCTCCTCCTGCGGGACCATACCTATCCCGCTCCAGCCTCCGCTCCTTTGTCCCTTCGCTCATTTCTCTCTTCGGTTTCTTTTCCCCGTCCTTTCCTCCCCCGCCTGTCCCCGCTGCTCTTCCCCATCCTTTCCGAACTTCACTGCCCTCCTCGCCAGCTGCCGCCCCGCTCCCCGCAGCGCAGCCCCCTGCTCCGAGCCCCCCCGTCCTGCCCTATATCCCGCCTAATCCCCACCAGGATTCCTATATCCAGCCTGTTGTCTGCTGGCGGCCACCGAGCTAATTCTGCGGGCAGCGCAGGGCGCAGAGCCGGGTGAGCGGCTCCGCTCCGTGCCCCGGCCCGCAGCCCTTCCCCGGGCGCACCCCCGGAGCCGGTCCCGGGCCGCTGTCCCCCCGCCCGCCGCCGGCTCACCCGCTGTCTGCTGCGGCCGAGGGCGGCGGGGCAGCTCTGTCCGCCAGCCCTCCGCAAGTCACATCCCGGCTCCGGCGGCGCGGCGGCTCCGCGGCGGGGAGCGAAGGCAGCGCCGACCGCCCCCGCGGCGGCTCACGGAGCGGAGCGGTGTCCGCCGCGCTCTGCGCCC